ACTGTATATAGTTATATAGATTAAGCCCTCATGTGGAGCTGAACTGAAAAAAAGGAACAAATGGAATAAAGACACTGGACACTGACTGAGAGCAGCAGGTTCAGATTGGGGAAGGATGGAGACATATTTAAAGGTGTAAACAGGCTCTGTGGATGGGAGAAGAAAACAATATATATATAATATATATAATATAGGAACAGTACAGTGAAGAACTCGAGTAGATGTAGGTGTTGACTGAGAAGCTGCAGTTGTGTTTGTGTAGCTGCTGTCGACTCTCAGGTGGACGACTGAAGTACTCAGATAAATATTTGAAGCAGAGAGCAGCAGGTGAGCCAAGACCGACCCCCCCACCCACCCTCGCCAACCCCCTCCCCATCGCATGCTACCTGGACACACACACTCACACACTCTCTCAGAGGCTCAGGACAGTCGGTCCGGCCAGCACGTTAGCCACCTGGCTGCCTCTGTGTGTGTGTGTGTGTGTGTGTGTGTGTGTGTGGGGTATACGATATATGGATATTATTTTAGTGTATATCTGTGTGTGAGGTCATTGTGTGTGTGTGTGTGTGTGTGTGTGTGTGTGTGTGTGTGTCAAAGGCTTCATGAATATTTCACACACGCTCTGGGGATCAAACTGCTTTTAAAAGTCACTAAAATCTCAGAAACAAGAGAATTAATTCATTATTTCTGTCTTCAAACACATAAAACGGTTTAAAAACTGGATGAAAACTACATTAAAAGTCTCTTTAGAATCTGAAGGTTTTACAGTTTGAGTTCAGCCACAGATGGATGAATTATGTAATATAGTTTTTGTGTATTGTCTATTGATATATTTAAATTTGAGCTCATCTAATCTCCTTTTAGTTCATAAAATGTGAAAATAAATCCGTCCAATGTGACGTCTTCAATGTCCAAACTCATAAACATTCAGTTTTCTGTGATATTAAAAGACATTTTCTTTATGTTTTGGTCATTTTTGCTTCATAAATAACTTTTTTACACATGAATCTGGATTGTCAACAAACAAACATCTGAATAAAGGATTTTATCAGTAATGACAGGGGAACCAAAAAGGATACAAGTTGAATTGTAGTTATATAATAATTTGTTTATTTTCCTGTATAAATAATAAATATAAAAATATTAATTGAGCTTTATTTAAGTCCATATTTTACCCCGGGTCTTCTACGACCGTCCTGCAGCAGCTCAGCGCTCGTGAACACACACAGTATTTAATCCGGACCAAACTCACAATAAACATATATAATAAAGAAGGCAGACACAAAATAAAAGTAAATAAATATCAGAGTGTTGCTTAAAGGGCTGCACGACCAATAAACAACAAACAAACAAACAAACCAAATAGTGACATAATACTGCAGTTTAAATGGATTTCAGGGCAAATTTCTTATCTTACATACGTTTTGTTTGACAAACAAACAAAAAACAACAACAACAACAATCATAATAATAGAAGCAATATTAATAACAATGATAATAATAATTAACATGGAAATAAAATGTATATATATATATAATATGAAAAATAATAATGAATCTTTAATTGATACTTCGAAGTGTCTGTTATTGTTTATTTCACAGTTGTGGTTGAGGATCATTTTATTTGTTTTACTCGAGATAAAGAGGTAAATAAATAAACCAGTGGGAGGAAAAGGGAAACAATATAAACAATATAAACAATATAAACAGCTGAGAGAACGTTTCAACCAAAGTTTGATGGTTTAATGGTTATAACAGCAGCGACCTCCAGTGGCCAGAACACAGAACTGCACCTGTTTGACTCTCAACACTCTTCTTTCATCTAAATAACAACAACGTCTGAAACTTAATATATTTACATATTTATATGTTTCTGCTTCAACATTTCAGAATGAAATAATAGAGAAATATTAGTCTTTAATAGAGTCATTAGTAGAGTATGTATGAACAGATGTATGTCTAGACATCTTTATTTACAATTATTATAGTGACTTATTTATTTATTTATGGGTTTGTTTTTTATTGTTACACTTTGCTGACCAGTGCTTAAATAAATAAATATTGTCCTGTTTGTGTTGTTATTGATTGTTGTTGTTGACTGTATGTCGACATTTCTTCCATTCAAATGAAATATTAGAGAAATATTAGAGAAATATCCGACAACTGCAGAGAAATTTCACTGAAATATATGAAAATATTTTTGATTATTATTGTTACTAAGAAACACAATTTATCACTAGAAGTCAATTCCTGGAAAACATTTCAGGGATATTCAGTAAGATTTGTACTCAACAACAGTCAAACTAAATTAATATGAGTCATTATCGGCTCTTAAAGGTTCTTTATTGATTGTTTTTATGTCTTTGTGTTAAAATTATTCGGATTTTACTGCATTTATGCTGCATTTCTATTTGTTCCTTGTTTGAAAAGTGATATGTACGGTGGCTGACAAGGGCAAACGCGCCGCAAACG